TTAATTAGCAGGATTCTCGTAATGTAGGAATAGGAAGAAAAACGAGATTGGAATGACATGTCATCTTGAATCCTATAAAATTAGGAATCACATGAATTTGGACCAAAGAGTTTTGACACCACATGGAAAATAAACGAATTAAACAAAGAGGTTCGAGTGGATGAAAATTTTCCTCTGAAACAGTGTGCTATGAAAATTTCCTAAAGGACTCAAATCCTTCAAAAATCTTATAAAAATCCTTCAAATTAGGGGAAGCCCTAATAATTTAACTGTCTCAATGCTAGCGCAACATCTATTCTATAATAATCAGTGTTATCTTTGTTAGGATTCAATATTCTGCCGCATTTAGCTATTTATAAGAATGTATTGGTTAGAGTCCTCTTCCCCATAGTCCGACGGCGCCGAACGGTGGCCAGAGACGGACATGAGGGTACACTGATCCAATGTCACATAGGATTTCTTTCAAAATATTTATGAATTCTTACCATCTTTCAGGTTCTTTTGTCATTCGCCCTCATTGTTTCAAATTTGTCCCCCAAGGCAAAGACATGCCTCACAGCATGGATCCCGTTCTAGAACGGCGACCCTCAGGCCGAAGATTCATAGAAAGAACAGAAAATCATTTCGCTTTCACGAGGTCAGTCCAAAGCCCCGTAGCATTCTGCGACAGCTTGCAAATCCATGTGGAGAGGAGGGCTAAGCTCATGAGTTCGGAGTTGATGACTACAAGCCCTCCCTTGTTTATAGGGTGGCACAATGCGGCCCATTTAACCATCTAGGAGGCAGTGGCTGCATCTTGGCTTTAGCGTCGCGGCCGATGCCCTTCGCTCGTGGTGTTTGGATTATTTGAATGCACTTTATATTTTTTTCTTTTTCTCCGGGGGTCTGCATAGGTGAGTTCCTGGAAGTTGCTTCTACAAACTCTTGGGTTTAAATAAGTTTGCTCCATCGAGACAGATGCCCAGAAACCACAACGAGCTTTATGCACGGCGCGTTGCCGGCGCATGCAGAAGGAAGAAGACTTCGGCACCCGAAGGATTTGGATGCATTTTTCGTTTCTATAAGGATATATTTGTAAGGACTTGTGATGCTAAATATTATGGCTTTCAGCCTTTAGAGAAAGGCCCAAACATCCATCGAATGCCAGATTTTTAGGAATGATAAATCAAATGATTTGTATGATAAATTATGCTTGTTGAGGGTGGCAAGTTTAGTTGGCGAGCATGACAAATTTGTTTCAATTCATATTTTTGCCAGAAAATTGTCGTGCTCATCAACTAAATTTGCCATCCACGCGACAATATAAATTACCATAAAAACATTCGACTTGCCGTGCCTAAAATTTTAACATCTGCCTAAAAACATATGACGTCAATTGTTTGACATTTGACATTTCCGTGAAAAAAACTCCTTTCACAAGTTCATACTACCTTTGTCAAAAAAGTTTTGGACAAGACTCAAATGGATGTATCTAGCACCAAGTTAGGGTTAGGGTTTAGGGTTTAGGGTTTAGAACGGAAGGAGTACAAAATAATTTGCTCCTTTCACGGATTAGTAAAAGCCGGATCATTGTTAAAAGAGGTAAATACACCAGAGGTCTTAGAACTTACACGCGGCAGTCACTTTGGTGCACAAAATTGTAAAATACGTGTTTATGGTCACTAAACTTGCATGACCGTTCAAACACAGTTACTCTCACTATACGCATGCATATCCGTCTATGCCAACGTGGCACGGGCCCGCTGTCAGCCAATATAAATGTTCTTGTATGATAGATATGTAGAAAAGCCCTCAACTCTTTTTTTATTTTGGTAGGAAGCCCCTCAAATAAATAAATAAAAAATTAGTGGAGCGGGAGGTTTCTATCCTGGACGTTCTGCTGGGTGGCTCGCTTCGCTTGGACAACCACCACACCAACCGTACCTAGTGCTTACTTAGCATGACTACCTTATATATCCTATCAGGGCGGACCCAAAAAAATTTAATGAAGAAATCTATCTTTTTTTGGAAAAACTTCCAATCTATTCATTTTCAATCATGGCAGTACAACAAATACCAGAAATAAAAATTACATCCAGATCTGTAGACCACCTAGCGACGACTACAAGCACTGAAGCGAGTCGAAGGCGCGCCGCCGTCATCACCCCTTCATCGCCAAAGTCGGGCACAACTTGTTGTAGTAGACAGTCAGGAAGTCGTCGTGCTAAGGCCCCATAGGACCAGCGCACCAGAACAGCAACCGCCGCCGATGAAGAATAACGTAGGTTGGAAGGATTCAACCCGAAGACACACGAACATAAACGAACAACGACGAGATCCGAGCAAATCCACCAAAGATAGATCCGCCTGAGACACACCTCCACACGCCCATCAACGATGCTAGATGCACCGCCGGAACGGGGGCTAGGCGGGGAGACCTTTATTCCATCTTCAGGGAGCCGCCGCCGTCTCGCCTTCCTGAACAGGACACAAACCCTAACAAGACAGGAAAAAACGACTGAAAATGGAGCCCTCCCGCCGGCCCTTGGTAGGATCCACCGCGCCCCCATGGCCCTAGGGCCACCGGAGACGAGGCGGACATGCGGCGGCGCCAGCGAGAGGCAGAAACCCTAACTTTCTTTCTTGGAGGAGGAGGCGTGCATTTGGAAGCTATGACCTACTCGTACGATGCCCTAGAAAAAACCACTTGTACGATGTCCTGAAAACCCTAATGAAGAAATCTATCTAATAACAATACAAAGTGCAACCGGTGGGTTTGAACCTGTGACATGGCAATTCACTCGCGCATAAGCCAACCACCAGGCAAGTGCGACATGTGATGTACTCCCTCCGTTTCAAAATACTTGACTTTCATGTGTCCAAAAATGAATGTACCTATATACTAAAACATGTCTAGATACATCTCTATTTTGACAAAGGGAAGGCATGTATTGTGGAACGGAGGGAGTAGTTTGTATATGTTTTTATCAATCTTGTTCTATATAAGCACGTGCCATTTTAAAAAAATGTTTAAACACTGTAAAAAAGTTTGTGTAATTCAAAATATGTTCATGCATTGAAAAAACCACGCAGACAGTTTTTTGAACTATGCGAACATAATTGTACATTGTGTAGACTTCACGATTTTTTTAAATGTGTCACCATTTTTTAAATGCGATGTACATTTCTAAATTTACAAAAATATTTTTCACAGTGCTTAAACATTTTTATAAATACTTGTAGTTTTTTTAATGCATGTACATATTTTAAATTGCACAAATAATCTTTTATAAAGTTTAAACATTCTTTTAAAATAAAAACTAGTTAGTTAATATAATTCATATATTAAATTGTGTATATCTTTACTCATGACTTATACTCATACCAACAGTCCAAATTTTAAATTATGAATATTGTAAACTATACAAACATTAAAGTATACAAAATAGGCGTATAATTATTGAAATGCTTGTATAGTTAAAATAGTTTATGAATTTACTTTTAAAAAGTATTAGTATTATAATTATACAAACATTTTCACTATTCATAAATATTGTTTGAAAACAATAAATGAGCAATTTTTTATGATCCACAAATTTCTCAAATAAAACGAATAGGTGTAATGATACAGAATGTTTTTAATTATGAATAACTTAAAATGCACATTTTATAATTATGAATATTTTAAAAACTATTTGTGTTATTATTATACAAACATTTTTATAATTCATATTATTTTAGAATAATACATGAACAATATTTGAAAGTTATCTTATTGTTGACATTATAATTTAGATACTATGTACAAATTTCTGAAAAAAAATAAACAAATACAAAATGGGTCGGTGAACCACAACCCATTTCTGCTCGATGAGCGCTTCCATTTTTGTACATTAATTAATCTTAGTTATCCTTAATACTAGTTGTGTACAGATGTGTAATGCACTTGCTGGGACGTGTATTGTACTAGCATTAGGTCAGGCGTTCGGGCGTTCGAGACCTGTTCCCATCGGTGGTTGACTGTTTTTGCGCAAAAAAAGAAGAAGGGGTTTTGTGTAAAAATGCATCCATGTGCCATTGATAGTGGGCCCATGCCATGCTGGCTCGACGGATACAACCGTGTACAGAGAGATTGACTGTATTTGAACGTATTTTACAACTTTATGCACCAAAGTAATCGTTAGATGCAAGTTCTAAGACCCCTAATATATTTACCTTTTATTAAAAAGAGAAAAATGACCTCGATAAATACTGAACGTTCAGATTTTAAGCATGTCACCTTGAATGCTTTTTCATGACAACTATAGTTGACATGAGAAGACAACTTTAGTTGTTTGTCAAAAAAAAACTTTAGTTGTTAAAACATGATAACTTTATCCTAATTTCATTCTTTTACAGAAAATTGCCATGAAAAATGTTCGGGTTAACATGCTTTAAATCCGTGTTCAGGATCAATTTTGCTAAGTCTTGACTTAATCGATGCTATATCAACGAGATCTTACATTTAGATTTCTGTAAAAAAAAAATCAGTTTTTTCTCTCCCTCGTGTTTGTTAGTACTACACCCTGCTTCCATTTGTATAAGGCCTAATGCATTTTCTAAGACTAATTTTGACCAAATGTTAGAGCAATGATATATGACATGCAACTTACACAAAGTATACCGTCAAATTCGTATGTGAAAGGAGTTTTCAATTAGATAATTTTCACATTATGCATGTCATGTACTATTAATCTTATCATTAGTTAAAGGCGGTCTTGAAAAATGCATTAAACCTTATATAGATGAAAAGAGAGAGTATGTCATTTGACTTAGACTTGGTCAAATCTTGGTCAACGCATATATGGGTTTATCATTTCCTAGCCACATCCGCTCGGGATTTATCATTTCCGGAAATAAAAAACGAGTGGCAACCCGCAAATTCCATTCCCCTCGCCTTCTCGGGTTTCCGTCGTCGCGACGCTGACGCCGGCTCTCCTGACCACCGCGCCGCCAGTCTCGACCCCTCCAGCCCCTCCCCCATGGCGCTTCCGCCGCCGCTCGGTGAAGCTTCTATGCGCCGCTTGCGCTCGGTGCTCTTCGACTGGGGACCCCCCCTGGAACTCACTTGCTTCCGTCTTAGTCGGGCCGCTTGGGTTAAACTGGGACTGAAATTGACTATGCCATATGCTGTGCTCGGCAGTGGTTCTCTGGCACCGCCGCAACTCTGGCCGACCGCCTACTCTTCAGGTTTGTTGTTCTTCGGCCTGTAGCTCGAAATCTCCACCTGGCCGATTTTTGGTTGGTGCATGTTTGAATGGGAATGGGGATTCCTAAATTGGTGCTGTAATGTGGAATAGTTGGTGCTTAGGCATGGGATGAAAATATTACATTGTTTGCTTCAGAAAAATCCATATACTCTACGATACAAGCACCTCTCCTGCTCGTATCATGCCTCCCCATCATACTGTCACCCATGAGTGGACACTTGTTTTGCTTCTGTGTTTTTAGATATTGATCCGACGTATTTTCTCTGTTTTGTTGCTTGGTTTTACTAACAATCTTGGTACCTGGTAGGTAGGGTGGCAGATTGGTCGCTAATTGCCCATCTATCTAGTCTTTTTTTTTATAGTTTTTGTATTAGTAATGATATCACTTAGTAAGTTAGTACATACTCCCTCCGTCCCAAAATAAGTGTCTCAACTTTGTACTAACTCTAGTTGTACTAAGCTTGACACACTTAGGCCGCGTTCGGCAGTCCTCGCGGAGCGTAGCGCCCGGAGCAGGGTTTAACCAACTCCGCAAATTATGGCGTTAATTAACTGGATTGCCGCTCCGCTCCGGGGCGGAGCCGCGGAGCTGAGGGAATCCAAACGCGGCCTTATTTTGGGACGGAGGGAGTATGACATTGACATGTTGGCCAGGCTGCAGTTGTCATTGTCAAGGGCAATAAGATTTCATGAATATTTTCACTTTCCACAGCAGTATATATGACTCAGAATTTTCCTAGTGTAAGCTAGAAATGGGTGTAAAATGTCAGAATTCAAAAGAATTGTGTCACATGGCTGATCCATGCGTTTAGCATTTCTACCAATGAAGTCCTTACCTAGCAGTCTAGCACTATCTAATCAACTAAAAAAAAGAAGTCATTTTGGACATCGACAATGTCAAGGTGACAGTTTGACCATTAATCTATATGAACGCAATGCACAACGGAACATTTGACTTTATTCTTTCACATGAACATGAACCACACCCGTTTGGATTTCGGGGGTTTGCTTATAGGTTTGTCAGAACTCAGAACTCATTTTTAAGTTTCTTCCGTTGTGTATTGTGGGTGTGAACTTGTCCTTTGACATCTTGCAGTCATACTTGTTTGATCCATCATCTGAGAAGTATCATACCCCTTGGCCTATACTTATAGGTTTTACGCCGAAAAGCATGACACTTTATATTGATAAGGGAATGTTAGTTGTTTGTTCAGGTAAGTATCCACATTTTTAAGCAATTATTGCATAGAAAGTTTTAGTAATACGGATTTAGCTATTCTGAGGATAGCATTTAGCAAAACAGGCTTCAGTTATTGTAGTTCATCTTTTGAGTTTTTTTAAAAGCAAGTTGTATGTGTCTACTCGAACCAAACATGATGCTAGGTCGTTATGGTCAAAATCTACTTCAATGAATTCCTGCTTTTTGGCAGAACCTGAAAACCAGACAGGTCCTTACTCCTTAGTGTAATGATTTGCGTGTGATGGCCTGATGGGTACATGTGGTGTTTTGTGTCACATATTGAATTTTGTTTGTTGCTGCAGGAATGGGATGCTGCCTCTATATGTAAGTGTGTCAAGGAAGTTCATATCAGATGCCAGATTGGAAATGATATACAGGAACTAAACAAGAAACTGGATACAATCATACCAGTAATACAACAGTTAGGACTAGCTGCAGAAGATCAATCAGGAATAGACAGCGAAGTTGCTCCTCATTACAATGAGTCCAATACAATAGGTAGAGGTGTTGGCAGTGACTGCAATGATCTTGTTAATCTGCTACGGAGAGGTGGAGAAGGCGCCCATGTTCTTTTCGCCATAGTTGGAACTATTGGAGTTGGTAAGAGTACTCTTGCACTCAAGATATACCATGAGATGAGAGGTAGGTTTAGAACCAGGTTATGGGTAAATATCTCCAACGACTCCAGGCGCATCACAATATGGTCTGGTGACACATTTAAGGGAAGGGCAGGAATGCCGGAGCAACGTGAGGTGTTACGCCGCTATCTGGATGGTTCTACCAGGAACCTGCTCTTGGTCATTGATAATGTGCGGAAAGCAGATGATTGGAACCAGTTGCTGGCTGCAAATGAAGCATTCCGCCGTTGTGGCTGCAAAGTCATTGTAACAACACGTGACGAGAATGTCGCAAGGATGATGGGGGTGACCCATTTTCACCGTGTCAAGTGTTTGAATGGGGACGATGGCTGGTTGTTGCTCCACAAAACCGCTAATCTGGGAGGGACTGTAGCCACTGGTAACATTCAGGATGTTGGAAGAAGTATCGTGCAGAAGTGTAGTGGCGTTCCGATGGCAATTAGAACAATTGGATGGAATCTAAGGGGCAGGTCCCGGGAAGATGAATGGGAGAGCATACATTCACAAGATTTCATTTCCTCGTATACAGGGATAAGGGACAGTATTGATACGACGTACATGGAGTTGAAGTATCGCGTCAAGCGGTGTTTCCTCTACTGCTCTTTATACCCAGAGCAATTTGTGATCAAGCAGCAGTGTGCCACGCAGCAGTGGATTGCAGAGGGTTTCTTTGAGGGCAGACCAAATTTGGAAGAGGAGGCTGAAAGCTGTTACCAGGAATTAATAGAGAGGGGTCTTCTTCTGCCTGAGCATGAAGCTAATGGTGTGGTGGGAGCAAAGATGCCTACTCTACTGAGATCGTTTGCACTCTATCGGTCAGGCGAAGAGAACTGTGTGGATAATCCTAGTCGTATCAGTAGTACCAGTAAACCATGGCGCCTATGCATCACAGATGAAGAAGCTATAGAGGCCATCCCGGTTTATGTCACTCGTTTGAGGACACTCTTTGTGTCTGCAAGCCCACTCAGAAGAAGCAGCTTGGACCTTATCATTGGAAGGTTTCCGAACCTAAGAGTACTAGACCTTAGAGACACACAAGTTGAGAGCATTCCCAAAACGCTGGGAAGATTGCTGCAACTTAGGTACTTGAATCTTTCGAATACTGAAATAAGAAAACTTCCTCAGAGTATTGGGAATCTGATGATGCTGCAGTTTCTAATCCTCCAAAACTGTCCTTACCTCACACAAATGACCAGCCATGTTGGCCGTCTGGAAAACTTGAGGGGCCTCGACTTCTCAGGGGCACCAGAGCTAAATGATGTCCGTTTCAGACTACTCAAACTGACAGGACTCAACTGCTTGCGTGGTTTTTTTCCAGCTAACCATGGTTTGAAACTCAAGGAATTACATGCACTGCGCAACCTTACAAGCCTCCAGATACTGAAGCTAGGCAGGGCATCAAGCATAGAAGATGCACACCAATCAAGGCTGCAGGAAATGTATCATCTGAAAGAGCTCGAACTGTGCTGCAGTTCTGTCGACCAACCACCAGTTGACGGTCAAGAGCATATGAAAGATGTGTTCAGCGCACTCAGACCTCCTCAGAGTTTGGTTTCTCTCAAGCTAGATGGTTACTACGGCAATGGATTTCCAGCTTGGTTTTCAGTTTCTCACCTTACAGCGCTGCAGCGGCTGACGCTTGATGGCTGTGTCCACTGTCAGCGCCTACCAGCTCTCGGTGAGATGATGAATCTCAAATTCCTGGCTATCATAGGCTTCAGTGTGTTGACTGAGATCAACTATGAGCTTCGTGGGGCACCAGCAACCGGTGTGGCATTTCCACTGTTGGAGCAGCTATTCCTAGGGAGGATGCAGAATATGGTGTCATGGTCTGGTCTTGTAGATATAGACATGCCTTTACTTGAGAGATTACAGCTTGATAGCTGCCCCATGATGATTTCTGTCCCCTCATGGCTCCAGCACTGCACGACACTGAAAAGCTTGAAGATACAGCATGCTGATGCGCTTCAATATATCGAGAATCTGCCAGCACTTAAGGAGCTGCAAGTTCACTATAGTTCCAATCTGAATAGGATACTTAACCTCAGTAGACTGGAGGATTTGAAAATAGTGAGCTGCGCATGTCTGACTGTCGTGCAGGATGTTCCTCTGTTGCGCAACTTGCATTTGGATTTGGGCAAACACACAGCCGAGCTTCCAGAATGGCTCCAGAAGAAACAGTCATTTACTCTCAGGGGATTGGAGATTATCGGCAGCGAGGACCTATTGAACAGATGCTCCTCATCCACCGCGCGCTACGGGCGCCTCATCAAAGATGCAGCTGATCATGTTTATGCGAAATTGCATGGTGGTTCCTTGTACTTTTCGTACACCAAGAGGACTGGCATGTTCTATAGAAGCCGACGATGCAGGGAATGCTTCAGTATGCAAGGCGCAGCTATCCTCGCGGTGCCTGTTGCTCCCCAGCGAGTTCATGGTGGCTGGGAAACATGGATCAAGTACACACTTTGTGCCATCTTCCTCATTGTTTCCCAGTTCTTTGTTCAGTGGGCTGTTAGCTCTAGGTAAATGAGTGGAATTATGTCACCTTTATTCCACTTATTTGATGTACCTTTGCTGTCGCCAAGTTTCTGATATGTGAAAGTTATTTGTTCTAGTGGAACAGGCATGATCTACGGTGTATACCACCTCCACATCCATTGACATAATAACCTGTCAGCAAAATTTGCCATTGGTAACAGGAGAGCTATTTGACAGTCAACAAGAGGAGCTAAATAGATTTTACATCTGTTACAGAGCATCCTTTTGCTGTTTCTCTTAGGAGGGCTATCTTGTGTCAGAAGCCAAAATGGGCGCTCACCTAAGTAGCAAAGCATGCCTCGGTTGAGAGGCCACGAGGGCCTTGGGTGAAACTCTGACTCCCTGGATAGTCGTATTGACTATTGAGCACATCTATGTTCCTGCTATTTCATCAAACTTATGTTCTAAAAATAAAATTCCATTGTCAGAAAACATTTACTTTTAAGCAGACTTTGAGCTTCCAAAGGCTGTTAGTACGTGTTACTGAACGTGGCGGTTTCTCTATCTCTTTTTTACGAGGAAACATAATGTCTTTGAACATGCATATAGAGAGAATGGACCGAACATTAGTTAAAGTTTGTCTCCTATGCGAACTGAGCGTGGTTAGGTTCCTTATGATGCAACCACCCTATCGCGGCTCATGAGAAACCGCCACATGACGCCTAAAGGAGGCGGCGGGAGCTATTTTCAAAAGAAAAATTGATTTGTCATGCTTAACCAGGGAACGCCAGATTTTTAATATTTTCGTATAACAAAAGCTTCAGAAAAAATCCCATATAACAAATGTGGTACGCTCTTGAATTGTTTTGGTATGTTCTTTTTTTTTTGCATGGTAATATATACATGTCTCATTTATATCATATAAGGATCATAGTACAAGCTTTTGCACAAAGGGATTTCAACCAAGTAGGGAAATTATAATTAAGATCGAAGAAATCTCTGAGCTTGACATCAACGTCCGTCACCTGTCTCTGGCACCACAACAGCCACCAAGAAAAAAAATGATGGATCACCTCCTGACCTGAGCTCGACGCGGCTCCATCGCTGATATATATATATACAACTTTGCGGACCTCTAAGGTGGCTCACCAAAGCCGAAACCGTTATCGCTGAACAAATCAGACCGGGGCAACACCCGGGATACGACATTGACCTCCAGGTCTGGCAGCCCCGCATGACTAAGGCGTCGGGGGAGAAAACCATACCTAGCATTCATGAATCACGGACGCAACACACGATCCACCATCTTTCAGATGTCGTCAATGCAGACCACAGTTTGCACCCGCTCCTGGACTACCTCCCAAGCTCCTCGCCGACGCTGGAGCAAACGTTGTCGCAACGGCGGAGTCAGAGGACACAGGTCTACCATGAGTATGCCGCCGCCGCTACGCCATCTTTGCTTGAACATACTGGTTTCTAAACCCACGCAACTATAAGGCCGATTGCCTCGTCGAAGAAGGATATGAAGATTCTTTATTTAGCACTACTGAAGTCAAGACGATAAACACCCTAAAAATCTAAGCTAGTAAAGCCTAAAATGAACCACCAACGACTGAGGTCGCTACTGGAGGTGAGATCGGCTCGAGAGAGAAAGGAAAGCGAAAACTGGAGTGCTCTACGCGTCGGCCGGCGGATAATTAGAAAAGATCCTCTGGCTCGCTGATCATTGGATGTACATGTTAACGGCTGTCCGATCTACCCCGTACGTAAGCAACCACTTCTTTGCAACAAGAGTGGTGTCGTAGAAGGCCCTCCGCAACAACCAGTTTGTTGCAATCATTCGAGTTTGTACTTATTTATTTTTTGCAATGAAGGTTTTGCTGCAGAAATTTTTCGCAACAAAAGTCTTGTTGCAGAATTTTTTTAATATATATTTTTTGCAACAAAGTTCTAGTTGCATATTTTTTTTGTAGCAGCGGTTTTGTTGCAGAAATTTTAGATATCAATTGCAGAAATCCATTTGCAACAGGGGTCATGTTGCGGAATTTTGTGCAACAGAGTTCATGTTTTTTTTTTTTGCAAATAGAGACCGTGACATAAAGGAGATGATGCTAACGACAGGAGGGGCTTGAGGTGGTGGCGGCCATGGCCGACCACGGCCAAGGCAGGCGTTGCTACATGAGCTTGAGGTGGTGGCGGGCACGGCCGAGACGGGTTGCGTTGCTGAAGGAGATGGTGGTGGACGAGACGGGTGTTGCTTGTATGGAAAGGAAGAGATAAGATGAGGGAGAGAGGTAGTCCAGTAGGCACGTGGCGTGCAACCAAGACGGCGGACGCGATGAGAGAGGATTTTCTGGACCCTGGTCCAGCCGCATCTATAGTCAGCATCGTTGGATCTAAGAACGTTAACCTAGGGATATGGGCCAGATTAGCAGAGATAGAGATCAGTTATGCTAATATGGACCGCTAACGGTTCTTGAACTTTGGACCATAGGTGCTAGAGCCCATTAAAAAATGGTGCCAAAGACGTCTATGTGTCGATTTGCAACGTGGATGATTCACACAACTACCAAAGCAGGAGATTCTTAGGAAAAAAACCCTATCAAAGCAGGCATGCATGCCAGCACGCTGACGTGAAAAATATGCTGACACACATTTTTATTTCATCTGTGTTCGTATTTTTCTCTCGTGTTCCACCAACATGTATGTTTCTGCTTTTTAGAGAATTACAAAAGTCTGACACACATGTCTTTTTGAGCTCTGACTTTATATCTTTTCTTGCACAGACAACCACAAATGCCATTTCTTGGTGAAAAATTACAAGCAAGCAGAACACATTCTGATGTTCACCGCCAGAAATTTCAGTTTTTTTCCTTTTCTTACATTTTTGGATTTTACTGTTTATATGGGTGCATTTGAGTTTGGAAATAGAAAATTCATGTCTGAAAAGACAAACACAAAACATTATAATATTTTAGGAGCAAAAGAAAAATCACGTTTGGAAGTAAAAATTTCATATTTCTTAATTAATATATTCTCGTTTCACCCGCAAAAAGTAGAAATTTCATGTTAATTTATATCTTTTACAAGAATAACATGTGTATCGTTCCCCGCAAAAAAAGTAACATGTGTATCGTAAAAAAAATGTTTACCTAGTACTCCATCCATTCGAAAATACTTGTCATCAAAATGAACAAAAAGAATATATCTAGAACTAAAATACATCTAGATATATCCATTTTTATTCATTGCGATGATAAGTATTTTTGGACGGAGGAAATACAGTCTATCATTTTTCACTACCCGCTCCATGGTCTTGGACAATAAAATAAGTCCAGCTACAGTCGCTAAGTCGTATCCTTCGTTGTGGTGCAATCTAGACAGTAAAAAATACCTATATGATTAAAATGGTATAGCCTTCACCCGCAAAAAGAAGAAGATGGTATAGCCTTATTAGATAGCAGCATGCACATTATGAACATGGATTATAGAATGTAAGTGGAGGGCTTGGAGCGTGGGTTCGGCTAGACCATGGTCTAGCAACATATTTGCGCGGACGCGAGCGCTATAATCCACCTGTTGATGTTAATCATTTTCCATGATAATACTCCATTACAATTGGGTATTCTTAATGAAGTAAATATGAAATGAATTAAATATCATAATCTCTGCGCATTGATTGGTAGTATTATATATATCAATGCGTAGAGATTATAATATTTAATTAATTCCTATTTCGTGCATGCGTGCTCCTATAAAAGCCGGCGTCCCGGTCGCGTCGCTTTCAACAATCCAGCTGTCAATCACGCTCTCCACCTACGTACGAACAGTCAATCCATGGGCGCCGCCGTGATGGAGCAGCGACGCGGCGGCAAGCCCAAGGTGGTGTTCGTGCTGGGCGCGACATCCACAGGCAAGTCCAAGCTTGCCATCGCCCTGGCGGCGCTCTTCGGCGGCGAGGTGATCAACTCTGACAAGATCCAGGTGTACGCTGGCCTCCCAGTGATCACCAACAAGGTGACGGACGAGGAGTGCGCGGGTGTGCCGCACCACCTCCTCGGCTGCGTGCCGTGCCCCGACGCTGATTTCACTGTCGACGACTTCTGCCGGGAGGCGACTGACGCGATCAAGCGCGTTCTCTCCCGCGGCGGCCTCCCCGTGGTGGCCGGCGGCTCCAACCGGTACGTCGAGGCGCTCGTCGACGGAGACGGCGGCGCCTTCCGCTCCTCCCATGACTGCCTCTTCGTCTGGCTGGACGCCGCGCCGGAAGTCCTCCGCCGCTCCACGGCCGTACGGGTGGACGACATGGTGCGGCGGGGGCTCGTGGAGGAGGCCCGCGCGGCGTTCGACCCGGACGCCAGCTACACCCGGGGCGTGCGCCGCGCCATCGGCCTGCCGGAGATGGACGCGTACCTGCGACGCGCGAGCGACGGCGATGATGACGGCACAGCCGCGATGCTGGGGAGAGCGGTGGAGGAGATCAAGGTTAACACGTTCGGGCTGGTGCTGGAGCAGGTGGAGAAGATCCGGCGGTTGAGCACGCTGGAGGGGTGGGACGTCCGGCGGGTGGACTGCACAGAGGTGCTGGCGCGGACGGCGGACGGCGAAGGGGTGCAGGAGCTATGGAGGAAGGTTGTCTGGGAGCCCGTCGAGGACATGGTGCGGACGTTCGTCATCGCGGAGAAGAGCGGTGGGAAGATCAACCTGCTGCCCTAGAGGATAGAGCAACTCCTGTGTCAGTTTTGGCGCGCTGTGTTAGCTTTGAATTGTCCACCGGGTTTTCTTAGTAAAACTTGTCGAAGAAACGTGAGGAGCTTCACCGTGAAGGAGAGACCTAGCATATATATACATATAAAAGATAATAGTACTGCAGATTTGCAGAATGGCCTATTTCGAACTTTCACTACATGAAAATAACTTGCCGCCGTGTGTGGGGCTGTAAGCCAGGTGCAATTTTTCAGTCACTCAGGCTTACATTCCTCTAAGCCGAGTAACACCGTCGAATTGTCTTATGCGGTTTTTTTTTATCCCTCATCCAATACTTTATAGTTATATGTACTCCTTCTATTTCTAAATATAAGTCTTTGAAAAGATTTCACTATGGACCACATACAAAGCAAAATGAGTCAATCTATACTCTAAAATGCATCTAGATACATCCGTATGTTGTCTATAGTAAAATCTCTACAAAGACTTACATTTAGGAACGGAGGAAGTATTATGTGAGGACCCTGTGACATTTTGCCTCGAAGTCTGTCTGATAGCTCCCTCAATTTTATCTTGATATTCTTCGTTCGATCATATACTCTATAATAAAGATTTTGAATATGCATATGAACAGCCAACCACCAGGGTGAGAATATGTCCGTGTCATCTATATCTACTAATAAAAGAAATAAGTATTCTCAGTCCGTCATGTTATTTTAAGAAAAAACCCTAGTGTTTCTAACATTAAACCCGCAGTACATATCAAATGTTTTTTAAAACACTCATATCTTCTAAACCGTAACTCTAAATTTAACATGTTATATATGAAATTTGATTAGAAAAATACATAGAATCTGAATATGATGTTATTTTACCTGTTAACCATTTAAAAAGTACTATCTATGGTGCAATCTCAATCAATAGTGCATCATCCATCTTTCTTTCATATCATTATTGATTCGAATTATGGATGAACACTCAACAAAATCAGGATTGGAGATAAAATTGAAGATCACTTCCCCGTTTCTTTGTATGTATTAAATCTACATGTAAACCATGTTTAAATAGAAGAAAGGTGGAATCTTGAACTTGCGCTTTTGTAGGCAAATACCATCTTTGTTTGGGCCGTAGCTACAAATACTCAGATTATAGACCATTTTTTGTAAATTAAGAGCGTGTGGTATTATTTATAAAGGAAATATGCCCTAGAGGCAATAATAAAGTTATTATTTATTTCCTTATTTCATGATAAATGTTTATTATTCATGCTAGAATTGTATTAACCGGAAACATAATACATGTGTGAATACATAGACAAACAAAGTGTCACTAGTATGCCTCTACTTGACTAGCTCGTTAATCAAAGATGGTTATGTTTCCTAACCATGGACATGTGTTGTCATTTGATTAACGGGATCACATAATTAGGAGAATGATGTGATTGACATGACCCATTCCATTAGCTTAGCACCCGATCGTTTAGTATGTTGCTATTGCTTTCTTCATGACTTATACATGTTCCTATGACTATGAGATTATGCAACTCCCGTTTGCCGGAGGAACACTTTGTGTGCTACCAAAGGTCACAACGTAACTGGGTGATTATAAAGGAGCTCTACAGGTGTCTCCAAAGGTACATGTTGGGTTGGCGTATTTCGAGATTATGATTTGTCACTCCAATTGTCGCAGAGGTATCTCTGGGCCCTCTCGGTAATGCACATCACTTAAGCCTTGCAAGCATTGCAACTAATGAGTTAGTTGCGCGATGATGTATTACGGAACGAGTAAAAAGACTTGCTGGTAACGAGATTGAACTAGGTATTTAGATACCTACGATCGAATCTCGGGCAAGTAACATACCGATGACAAAGGGAACAACGTATGTTGTTATGCGGTCTGACCGATAAAGATCTTCGTAGAATATGTGGGAGCCAATATGAGCATCTAGGTTCCGCTATTGGTTATTGACTGGAGACGTGTCTCGGTCATGTCTACATTGTTCTCGAACCCGTAGGGTCCGCACGCTTAAGGTTTCGATGACAGTTATATTATGAGTTTATGAGTTTTGATGTACCGAAGGAGTTCGGAGTCCCGGATGAGATCCGGAACATGACGAGGAGTCTCGAAATGGTCGAGACGTAAAGATCGATATATTGGACGACTATATTCGGACATCGGAAAGGTTCTGAGTGGTTCGGGTATTTTTCGGAGTACCGGAGAGTTATGGGAATACAGGGGAAGAAGTATATGGGCCTTATTGGGCTTTAGGGGAGAGGGAGAGGCAGGCCGCGCGCCCCCCATTGACTAGTCCGAATTGGACTAGGGGGAGGGCGGCGCCCCCTCCTTCCTTCTCTTCCCTCTTCCCCTTCCTTGTCTCCTACTCCTACTACTTGGAAGGACTCCTAGTTGTACTAGGAAAGGGGGAATCCTACTCCCGGTGGGAGTAGGACTCCCCTAGGGCGCGCCATAGAGAGGGCCGGACCTCCCCTCCTCCACTCCTTTATATACGGGGGCAGGGGGCACCCCATAGACACACAAGTTGATCTTCGTGATCATTCTCTTAGCCGTGTGCGGTGCCCCCCTCCACCATACTCCTCGATAATATTGTAGCGGTGCTTAGGCGAAGCCCTGCGACGGTAGAACATCAAGATCGTCACCACGCCGTCGTGCTGACGGAACTCTTCCCCGACACTTTGCTGGATCGGAGTCCGGGGATCGTCATCGAGCTGAACGTGTGCTAGAACTCAGAGGTGCCATAGTTTCGTTGCTTGATCGGTCGGGTCACGAAGACGTACGACTACATCAACCGCGTTGTCATAACGCTTCCGCTTTCGGTCTACAAGGATACGTAGACAACACTCTCTCCTCTCGTTGCTATGCATCACCATGATCTTGCGTGTGCGTAGGAATTTTTTTGAAATTAGTACGTTCCCCAATAGTGGCATCCGAGCCTAGGTTTTATGTTTTGATGTTATATGCACGAGTAGAACACAAGTGAGTTGTGGGCGATATAAGTCATACTGCTTACCAGCATGTCATACTTCGGTTCAGCGGTATTGTTGGATGAAGGGGCCCGGACCGACATTACGCGTACGCTTACGCGAGACTGGTTCTACCGACGTGCTTTGCACACAGGTGGCTGGCGGGTGTCAGTTTCTCCAATTTTAGTTGAACCAAGTGTGGCTACGCCTGGTCCTTGTGAAGGTTAAAACAGCACCAACTTGATAAACTATCGTTGTGGTTTTGATGTGTAGGTAAGAACGGTTCTTGCTACGCCCAGTACCAGCCACATAAAACTTGCAACAACAAAGTAGAGGACGTCTAACTTGTTTTTGCAGGGCATGTTGTGATGTGATATGGTCAAGACGTGATGAGATATAAGTTGTTGTATAAGATGATCATGTTTTGTTGAAGTTATCGGCAACTGGCAAAATCCTTATGGTTGTCTCTCTATTGCATAAGATACAAGTGCCCAATAATTGCTTTACTTTATCGCTATGCGATAGCAATAGTTGCAAGAGCAATTATTGGCGAGACGACCATGTGACAACACATTGATATAGATCAAGATGATGGAGATCATGGTGTCATCCGGTGACGATATAGATCATGACAGTACTTTGGAGACGGAGATCAAAGGCGCAAGATGATGATGGCCATATCATGTCACATATTTTGATTGCATATGATGTTTATTTTTTATACATCTTATTTTTGCTTAGTTTGACGGTAGCATTTTAAGATGATCTCTCACTAATTATCAAGAAGTGTTCTCCCTGAGTATGCACAGTTGCGAAAGTTCTTCGTGCTGAGACACCACGTGATGATCGGGTGTGATAGGCTCTACGTTCAAATACAACGGGTGCAAAACAGTTGCACACGCGGAATACTCAGGTTAAACTTGACGAGCCTAGCATATACAGATATGGCCTCGGAACACGGAGACCGAAAGGTCGAATGTGAATCATATAATAAATATGATCAACATAGTGATGTTCACCATTGAAAACTACTCCATCTCACGTGATGATCGGACATGGTTTAGTTGATTTGGATCACGTGATCACTTAGATGACTAGAGAGATGTCTATCTAAGTGGGAGTTCTTAAGTAATATGATTAATTGAACTTAAATTTATCATGAACTTAGCCCTGGTAGTATTTTGCAAATCATGTTGTAGATCAATCGCTCGCGTTGTTGCTTCCCTGTGTTTATTTTGATATGTTCCTAGAGAAAATTGTGTTGAAAGATGTTAGTAGCAATGATGCAGACTGGATCCGTGATCTGAGGTTTATCCTCATTGCTGCACAGAAGAATTATGTCCTTGATGCACCGCTAGGTGACAGACCTATTGTAGGAGCAGATGCAGACGTTATGAACGTTTGGCTAGCTCAATATGATGACTACTTGATAGTTTAGTGCACCATGCTTAACGGCTTAGAATCGGGACTTCAAAGATGTTTTGAACGTCATGGACCATATGAGATGTTCCAGGAGTTGAAGTTAATATTTCAAGCAAATACCCGAGTTGAGAGATATGAAGTCTCCAACAAGTTCTATAGCTAAAAGATGGAGTAGAATCGCTCAACTAGTGAGCATGTGCTTGGATTGTCTGGGTACTACAATCGCTTGAATCAAGTGGGAGTTAATCTTCCAGATAAAATAGTGATTGACAGAATTCTCTAGTCACCATCACCAAGTTAGTAGAACTTCATGATGAACTATGATATGCAAGGGATAACGGAAACGATTACCAAGCTCTTCGTAATGCTGAAATTGACGAAGGTAGAAATCAAGAAAAACATCAAGTGTTGATGGTTGACGAGACCACTAGTTTCAAGAAAAGGGCAAAGGAAAAAAAGGGGAACTTCAAGAAGAATAGCAAGCAAGTTGCTGGTCAAGTGAAGAAGCCCAAGTCTGGTCCTAAGCCTGAGACTAAGTGCTACTACTACAAAGGGACTGGTCACTGGAAGTGGAACTACCCAAGTATTTGGCGGATAAGAAAGGAT